GTACGTGTGCTACACACCACGATGTTAGTCGTACGGGTATGCTTTCCACCGCTTCCTGTCCGCTATCAACGGCTCCATTAAACTAAATTTATCGTTAACCCGAGGCATAACCCAGCAGCATTGTTTGAAGTGAAAAAAATCTGTAGGTTCGTTCAACAGCAGCTAAGAGTTTGCACAAAGTGTACAATTCACGTGTCCCTGGGGTATGTATAATTGCAAACTCCAGAGGTTAAACTGAGCATGTCTAACGGACTTCCCATATTTATTTCTGACGCCATCGCTCATAAATTAGTTGCTAGCTAAAACATTTTTGGAACCCATCCTACGCAGATTGCCAAATAAAGTGATGGGCATTCAACACCGGATGGTCTAACTTAAGAAGCTGAACAAAAACGGAGAGGTAGTCATTGCGGATGAAAAGTAAATCATAACTAAATATAAAGCATAAAAAGGTGCCTGGACACAACAATGCACCATGCCAGTCGTGTGATCCTGGGCACGCAATAAAAGTTTCTGATTCACTGTTGAGTAGATGCCGTCATTAGAAAAAAAGGAATCAATAGGATGTTAACAATTATAGTTGAATTTGTTGGTTGCTGCGTGTTTGTGAAAAACCCAGAAGGGCCAATTATAAAGTGAGCTATTTCGATACCTTACCAAGGAGATATTTGGCCCTGCGGATGTGCATATATTCGTTATGATCCGCATTATGGACCATAACATGTCGAATAACTTTACAGGGACTCAAGAAATAGAGATACCAAAAATTACAGTGCTCTGATGGGCGAAATCTCCTTTATAGAGGAGAATATCGGTAGCTCAGGTAGCGTAGATGGTCGTTGGCTTGTTCGCTGAGCTTTGCAATTTGGTTGCAAACGTTTCATCACCAATCGAGGTGACATCATCAGTGCGTAGTTGTGCGTAGCGGTGGGTTCGTGGTTGTGCGTTCAGTAGTGTTACGTGTGTGTTGATATACGTGCTGGTAGCCGGGGATGACCTTTGACCGCGATTAGTTATTCTGTCGGGCGTTTCCATTGGTTTTTCTTTTTATCCCGTGTCCTCATTCGCCGATGCCCACGTGACTTTTGAACTTGGCATCCCTCACCGTCGTAGTCTAGTCGATGTTAGAGCGACCTTTGTCCTTCCGAGTTCCGGTTCTGACCTTTATTGATTACCGAATAATGGATTCACAAACGAAGAAACAAGGAATTCCTCGGAGTCAAATCAATAAAGGTCAGAACCGGAACTCGGAAGGACAAAGGTCGCTCTAACATCGACTAGACTACGACGGTGAGGGATGCCAAGTTCAAAAGTCACGTGGGCATCGGCGAATGAGGACACGGGATAAAAAGAAAAACCAATGGAAACGCCCGACAGAATAACTAATCGCGGTCAAAGGTCATCCCCGGCTACCAGCACGTATATCAACACACACGTAACACTACTGAACGCACAACCACGAACCCACCGCTACGCACAACTACGCACTGATGATGTCACCTCGATTGGTGATGAAACGTTTGCAACCAAATTGCAAAGCTCAGCGAACAAGCCAACAACCAAATGTCCTTTATATTGAGAAAGTGAGAACCAGTGAGAAGACTGAACCTGTTTATGGAATGCGTTGGTTTGCGATGACCAGCCACTCTCTACCAATGCAACGGTGATACTATTGATTGGGAGGCATACGAGTAGTAAGTGTTGTTCTCGGAAATGCGCTTTGCGCCACTTGAAAAGGTGAGATCAGTTGCGGATTTGTGGAGTCGCTTTGTAACATTTGTTTCAATTAGAGCAACGAACGGTTGGCGTAAATGAATATCCAGGAAATTTCAAGGAGTCGAGTTCAGGAGAAGGTGGATGTCCAGTTTTTGTGAATAAGATGCAAATGAGAGTTTTGCTTCCCTGTCCAATAGTCTGTAACCGGTCATCTGGCATTTTCTAATAAATGACTCCGCACCGAAAGCCTTCTTCCTTTCATCAATACTAAATTTGACATGCTTCAAGAAAACACAGATGTTTGGCTGTTTGTGTGACACCCATGATGATTTTCACCAGCTCATTGGCGGAAACATCGACCGCATTTCGACCTAAGAAACAGAAACCCTGCACCGTCAAACAAAAGCAGGCCTCTCGAAATGTGAACAATTTTAGTATTTTCACAAAGATGGTAAATTTCAAGGTAAGGTCCGGAAACTCGAGGATAATTGAGCGAATCGCTCGAGTAAATATTATCAGGTGAGTTAGTTGACCTAGGGAGTGATGGTGACTACCAAAGTTATATGCTTGGGGGCGAATCACAACCTCAGCGGCAAGAATATTCAATTGCTGGTTTGTAGTTATTTGTCAAACAGTCACTTTCCAGGAATGACGGCAGCCTAGATTGCTTTACATACAATAAGAGGTGCGTTATGCATAGGTGCGCACGCCTGCACAACAGTGAGAAACGTAATGCGCGGAATGGATGCCCGGAAACATGCACTAAGAGCTCTGATTTTGTGGCGACGTGCAAAGTGTGCCACCGGAATATCGTGCATGCATACTCCATGCAGGTGATCGGTCAGAAGAATTAAAAATAAATGGACGGGATACATGATATGTAATTACAGAAGGTCGATAAAGCCAAGTTAACAAGTTAATGGAGCGGTCTAAAAACCAGAACTCGCTTCCCAGGTCTTAATAACTGATACGCTACAAATCGATATCGATTTGCTATTAATTCCAATGGGTAAAGATCGATCACTTTCACCCAGTTTAGTGTTCAGTGATATCGGTTACCGGATTTATTACACAAATTATATAGTGTGTTTCCATTTGTGTGCCACGTAGTCGAATGTGCGCACAGGAGACGCTTGTGTGACCAATCGTTTTGAGACATTGCGTTTGCAGTTTATCATTCAATAACGGAGATATTGCATTCATCGCTCGTTTATGATATTCTTCAACTGTATACGCTGCATACAGGCCGTCTTGTTTCAGGTGGTACGATATTTGAGATGTCGCATTATATTTTCGTAAAGAAAACTCTTCGACAACCCACGATTAGTTTCTCCTTCATGGCGCAGTTTTGTCAAAATTTCGTTCTACCTGAACCCGGTAGTTTTGTTTCGAAGAAAGGTTTATGGATTTCGTGAACTTCGAGTGATGGCTTTATTTGAGAGTGGTACTCACCAGGAACCCAAATGGATAAGTCTACTAACAACCCAATTAGTTGCTATTTCCACTTGCCTTTTTAGTAAAATAACATAATGCAAGAGGGTCTGCAGCCCCTGCGCGCCAAAATGAAGCGGAGTGATTTGACAATGTACATCTTGGTTAGTAGTCTAACATCGACAATATCCGGGACTTGACTTGAGGACTGGATTGCAACACAAGTGTGACATCTGTATTTGATTCTTGGTGGTGTGTAAATGATTCCATTCTAACCTGAAAAGCGGGGATGTACTGTATAACTGCTTAATCCCTACTGAGAATCCTTAGCGATGAGCATCTTATGAAACTCCAGGAAGTCTCGAACCCGCAAAACCCCGCCTACTAATTTGATCACTTAACTCTTAGAGCACCAGAGGTTGACGAGCAATGTGGTGAACTGAAACCTGGGCAGAATATAGCGCCAATCATCCAACAATCGCGGAAACCACATTATGTAGTCAGCTACTGATTAAATTATCGAGTTACGCCTTCTCGGAAGCAAGGTCCGTCAAGTGTGTGGGGTCTTTTATGAGTTTTATATAGATTAGTGACTGGAAAAGAAAATTCCAAAATCTGACACCACCAGCAAACCTTAGGTAGCGTAGAGGAAGTAGTATTCGAATAATCAGTAAATCTTTAATGTGAAAAGACAGTCCACAAAGCCAGTCAACGCGTGATGTGGTGTTGGAGGTTTGATGATGAGCGGTGATGTATCTTAATTAAGTGCGAATTATACAGCAGGGTTTGTGGTCAAATCTCCGTGGACTCTTGTGGAATGCACACTGCTCAAGATTCCCAATAGGAATGAAACAGCTATGCGGTGTTACTTGGCTTTCCAGAATAGACTGACTTTAGTAACAACGATGTTTCAACTGAAATTTCGCATTCGCGCTTGAAACTGATTACCGGTATCTAATTTTCCCATTCACAGGTGGTTACTTCAAAAAGGAAGTAGACGTCCCAGCTGGTGATATCGCAATAATTTCGGCGTCGTCCAAAGGTAGTTTATAATTTATTTTTGCAAAGTCACACTGCCGGTGATGTATTTCTGGGGTTTTGGCGAATTTGATTGGCTGGTGTCGATATGTGGCACGAAACTGTCTGTGTAGATAGCATTACTTTAGGGGGCGGAAAGCCAGTTTCTCTAAGTTACGTGCTGTATCTGAAACCCAATAAAAATTATCGCGTTCTTAAACATCCTACAAGGCATAAGCTTAGACAAATTGCCATTTTGGACAGTTTTTTGTTGTAGTGACACTCGAATATCAGCTTAGTTGGAACTTGAAGTCACCTGTGAGTGTACGGTTTTAATGCAAAGTATCAAAAACTAGGTAGGCTTATTGGCCTCTCCCCTTACCGCAGTTAAAGTACAATTTTGGATTGACTGAGAACTTATCAGCCTATGCACTTGATATCCATATAAAAAATATTGTCTGTTGCTTGAGACTCTTCAATTTCAAGTGAAATCACTAAAAATAACGAACGATCCAGTCGTGTTTCTTGAAGGAAAAAGATCATACCTTTTACTTCTGTCTCACTTTACTCGCGTATTAAAGAACGATGGTTGGATTAGGGGATTGTAGTGAAAGAGAAAATATTCTATCAATTTCGTCACAAGCAAATAAACGGTGCGCCCGCAAGGGCGATTGCTTTGGGACTTTTTGGCGCTCGTGAAATCTGGAAACAAGTGATAACTCCGGTTTATTTAATGTCTTGGAAAATGGATGTAAAAGGATGTAAAAGTGTAGACGAGTTTTGGTTACCTACACGGTGGTTTCTCTAACTGGAGAAACTAGAGCCGAGATGTTCACGAATTTTTGGGGACAAGACATCTGTTTTGCAGGACGCTGTATATTGAGAGTAAGGCGTCAACTTACAAATGACCAAAATCACTTAGGTGGAATGATGGACAATTCTGGTAAACCCGCAGTGACTTCATCTTCAATTCCACACTCATTTTTTCCACGCAACATTTTAAAGTATCCATCTTCACCCCAGCCTTCGTTCCATGAATTTGCGATCAACCAATAGGGTGTGCCGTTCTCTTCTCCCCAGCCCAAAATGCGAATGGCATGACCACCAATAAACTCGCCAGTGGAATGGAAATACACACCTTGTTTGTAACCGAGAAAGTCTTCGTAAACCTCAAACGCTGCTTCGACTGGTCCGTTGATCATGATCTCCTTCATTATCGCCATTTGGGATCGTTGTACATTGTAAGTGATGTTAGCTGGGGAGAAAAAGCAAAAGGGCGTTGACAAATTAAGTCGACTTTATCATGTAAGGAGAGTGCAACTGTGTCATTCTTTTGACTCCTACGATGTTTTATGTTTGAGAGCTAAGGTACTGAGACTCTCACTCAACTTGTCTAGCTCGGATTACTCGGTGAATTCGACCGAGGAGCGTTTGCTTAGGTTTGCATGCATACCATGGCGCGGTAAACTCAATGAAGTAACACGTACCGAATACAATAGCGATCTAATTCCACTTGGCGTGCAACGGATTGGCCGCGTAAAGACTCTGCTGTGAAGATTTATTTTGTTTTAATAAAGCGGAACGACTGTGAAAATCCGTCCATTGCTGGTCTTTAACTGACTTTGAGTGTTCTTATTCAAGGAAGAAAACTGTGTCACGTTGTGATCACGAGCTTTAAATGAGGTGATTTGCAATCCAAAAGACTTTCGGCGACAGATCTTATATCAAGGAATTGTGATTCTACCTCAAAGTGTTCTTATTATTCAGTTGTGTTGTTCCGGCGCCCATCTGATATCACATCATCGTAGTCAGAGTTGTGATGTGTCTCCGCAGTCATGGACGATACCCACAATCAACCGTTGTGTCCATTTATTGTGTTGTAGGTGGAAATGTCAATGTGCCCCTAAATAATACAGGGAGCACGTTGTATATAACCAATTCCCGGAAAACTGGGTGCGTTCAGCCGAGCCGTTTTAAATGTAGAGCGCGTTGAACACACAGACTAATGTTCACCCGCTGTGTTCGCAATGACTGTCACCGTCTCTTTCATGAAGCAGCTTATCTGCAAATGGATGAATCCTTATTCAAAGCAAAAGTGGCTTTTAAAAGGTTCATGTTTTTCTCTGAATGAAAACGTGTAAATTATTAGTGACTGAAATATGTGCCTACTGATCATAACACAGTCATAGATCGAGTAAGTATACCACCTAATTCCGTACCACTTTCGCAAAGGGAACAGACAGACTAGCAAAATCTAGCGGAAGGAAATATTTTTAGCACCAAAGGAGAGTTCTTTGAATGGAAAACCTGGCTACAAGCCATATTCCGTCTATAAAAAATAGCCTATTGCATGTAGTCCGTGAGACCACATAACACCAAGTGCAAAACACATGCATTAGTCTGATGAGAATCTGCAGAAGGACGCTAAACGTGCGAAGACCAGCTATCCATTAAGCTCGTGCCGAGAGTTTTTCACGCAACCCCAGAAAATTCACTCATCCACTCCCTCCTGGGTGTCATTGGGCATACAGTGTACACAATTCACGGTCGATAGTCTGCAACTCAGCAAAGTAGAGGTGTTGAAATTCTGTGATCAGGTAGATATTTGGTTGGCCTCGATGTGTTTTTTAAGCTGACTGGAAATTTATCATGAGCTAATGGATTGGGACGGCACTGTGAGCCTTGAAAATATTATTTTGTTTTCTATTTAAGTTGTGGTCTTTCACCAACAGTTCTTCGTAAAGTTTACGTTCACGTCACTTTTGTTTGAACAGTATTCCCGTGAGCGCACACCAAACAATGAAATAACTGGACTTGAGTTTCGCTCTTAGTAAAGGTCATCAGGAGGGTTGGGCAAACCAGACACGTCATCCACATATGAACAAGTTGGGCTGTTCAGGCGTGATCCTCAAGATGGGTCCTGGGGAATAGAGATAACATGTTAACCTTGCAGATATCCATAGTTCAGATCCGGTCATGTTCAGGGATATGTGCTTCTGATGATCTCTAATGAGAGCAAACCTCTACTCCAGTGCTTTCGAGCTTTGATGTGGACTGGCCAGAATAATTTCGTCAGGCCAGTTGGTAAATGGTCAGAAGAGTGATGGGAAGGTGCGTTCTGCAAATCCTGCAACCGTCTACCTCTAGTTATTTGTAGGCAAGAAGCAGTCAGACGTTGTCTGATATGGAGTAGATTTGCAACGTCTTTTGGAGAGAAAACTGGCCTAGCTGATTTGGTGAACTAAACTCTTAGGTGTTTTCATGTAGATGAAACTTTAATAATACGTTGGCGATGGAAAGAATGCCTGGTCCAAGTAACTTGACCCAGACAAGATGGACATTTAAAAGCGAATTGCGGTGTAGGATTTCTACTCCCGAGTTTTGTCATTTAGTCTGGCCGCACGTGTAAAGTGGACGATTCGGCTCATGGGAAACCTAAAGACCATTCAAAAGCGGTGAATTTCGTTTTTATCCCCACGGTAAAATTGTGCTTTAATATGTATAGCCATTTTTGGCGGCCTTTTAATAGGATTCTTCACAGGATACAGGTCGAACCGGCGTCTGTCGGAACGCATAGCTAAACACATGTCATGCGATGTTTTCCAGTTTTAGCGAAGTAGTGCACGAAAGCTCCACGGTCAGAACTAGACCCTGCTTTAAACGCCGGTAAGTGCAGGCCAATTATCCCAGAGGTCCAAAAGCATCCTTCTGGTTACTGTTGTTGAATGGTAATCCTAAGCTCCTATTAAAGTCCAAAAACTAACTTTGCATGCCCATTAAGTTTTGAAACAGTCTTTATCTGCCGTGGTTCCGCTTTCACGACACCCACATGAGCATCAAATTTTCTAACTGCATGTTTTTTCACTCGTGACTGACTGGAATAATTAGAATCTTAACATACCACGATGTATGCTTTCGATCTGTACAGATGGAACAAATGGCTATATATAAAACCTACAGTATTCTGCACAGAACCTCAAGAAACCGGCGTTGTCATCTCAGATTATCGCTGCCAGGACGGTCTATCATGTTGATACAACAACTTGTTGACCAACATATCACTAAGGAGCACAAACTCTGAGATACCAGTTGCATTACAAAATCTAGCGGAAGGAAATATTTTTAGCACCAAAGGAGAGTTCTTTGAATGGAAAACCTGGCTACAAGCCATATTCCGTCTATAAAAAATAGCCTATTGCATGTAGTCCGTGAGACCACATAACACCAAGTGCGAAACACATGCATTAGTCTGATGAGAATCTGCAGAAGGACGCTAAACGTGCGAAGACCAGCTATCCATTAAGCTCGTGCCGAGAGTTTTTCACGCAACCCCAGAAAATTCACTCATCCACTCCCTCCTGGGTGTCATTGGGCATACAGTGTACACAATTCACGGTCGATAGTCTGCAACTCAGCAAAGTAGAGGTGTTGAAATTCTGTGATCAGGTAGATATTTGGTTGGCCTCGATGTGTTTTTTAAGCTGACTGGAAATTTATCATGAGCTAATGGATTGGGACGGCACTGTGAGCCTTGAAAATATTATTTTGTTTTCTATTTAAGTTGTGGTCTTTCACCAACAGTTCTTCGTAAAGTTTACGTTCACGTCACTTTTGTTTGAACAGTATTCCCGTGAGCGCACACCAAACAATGAAATAACTGGACTTGAGTTTCGCTCTTAGTAAAGGTCATCAGGAGGGTTGGGCAAACCAGACACGTCATCCACATATGAACAAGTTGGGCTGTTCAGGCGTGATCCTCAAGATGGGTCCTGGGGAATAGAGATAACATGTTAACCTTGCAGATATCCATAGTTCAGATCCGGTCATGTTCAGGGATATGTGCTTCTGATGATCTCTAATGAGAGCAAACCTCTACTCCAGTGCTTTCGAGCTTTGATGTGGACTGGCCAGAATAATTTCGTCAGGCCAGTTGGTAAATGGTCAGAAGAGTGATGGGAAGGTGCGTTCTGCAAATCCTGCAACCGTCTACCTCTAGTTATTTGTAGGCAAGAAGCAGTCAGACGTTGTCTGATATGGAGTAGATTTGCAACGTCTTTTGGAGAGAAAACTGGCCTAGCTGATTTGGTGAACTAAACTCTTAGGTGTTTTCATGTAGATGAAACTTTAATAATACGTTGGCGATGGAAAGAATGCCTGGTCCAAGTAACTTGACCCAGACAAGATGGACATTTAAAAGCGAATTGCGGTGTAGGATTTCTACTCCCGAGTTTTGTCATTTAGTCTGGCCGCACGTGTAAAGTGGACGATTCGGCTCATGGGAAACCTAAAGACCATTCAAAAGCGGTGAATTTCGTTTTTATCCCCACGGTAAAATTGTGCTTTAATATGTATAGCCATTTTTGGCGGCCTTTTAATAGGATTCTTCACAGGATACAGGTCGAACCGGCGTCTGTCGGAACGCATAGCTAAACACATGTCATGCGATGTTTTCCAGTTTTAGCGAAGTAGTGCACGAAAGCTCCACGGTCAGAACTAGACCCTGCTTTAAACGCCGGTAAGTGCAGGCCAATTATCCCAGAGGTCCAAAAGCATCCTTCTGGTTACTGTTGTTGAATGGTAATCCTAAGCTCCTATTAAAGTCCAAAAACTAACTTTGCATGCCCATTAAGTTTTGAAACAGTCTTTATCTGCCGTGGTTCCGCTTTCACGACACCCACATGAGCATCAAATTTTCTAACTGCATGTTTTTTCACTCGTGACTGACTGGAATAATTAGAATCTTAACATACCACGATGTATGCTTTCGATCTGTACAGATGGAACAAATGGCTATATATAAAACCTACAGTATTCTGCACAGAACCTCAAGAAACCGGCGTTGTCATCTCAGATTATCGCTGCCAGGACGGTCTATCATGTTGATACAACAACTTGTTGACCAACATATCACTAAGGAGCACAAACTCTGAGATACCAGTTGCATTAAACTGAGGTATACGGACGGATAAAATTCGGGTTACAGCTACGGACCTCACGAAGAACTGCCTTTGGTTAATCTGATACGCATGATGATTATCAGATCCTTGGTTAGGTTAACTAAAACTGAGAACTGACACTTTGCCGCACCAATACCTGCCCAACTTCATAACAAAATTAATGAGGGTGTCAAAGGCGTGATACTATCAAACCGTCCGTTGAAAGAGTAGGTTCTCTATCATCACACTGAATACAAAGTGAGTCTCAAAGTAATCCAAACTGAGCTTGACATTGAATATAAGCCATTTGTACGTCACTGGTAAGATATGGCCTTCAGGAAGAAGTCCGTATGGTTTCTCCTGAATGTGGTCAGACTAGCTGTAGGACCTAGAAGCCAAAGGATATCAGTGAAACCTCACTGTCAACTACTATCTAGCCGTCGGCTTGTTTCTACAAGGCTGACAGTACGTGCTCTCCCTCTCCATTCTTTCTCTTACAAAGCGAGTAATGGTTTTTCAGTCTACAACGAAGTTCCTTGATGCTTTGCAGGGTATGACATAGGAAAGACATCGGAGAATGCGCGCTATGGAACAGTAAATATAATGTTGTTTCCCACCCAAATATCTTCACAATTCCATAAGTGCCAAAAAACCCAGTCATTCCCGTGCACGCATTGATTAAAAACCACAATGCATTAATCCAGCTCATTCAATCCAGAGAGCCCTGACGATGCACACAGGACGATGGTGTGGAAGGTCTAGGCAATTCACACACAAACTGCCTACGCTGACTTAAACGAAAACCAATCAAAATCCGCTGTGTGGATAGGCTCATAAACACCAACCAGTAGCAAGAATATCCGCCCGCAGTTTCAGCCCACGCACAAGACCTTAAAACCTTATCAGTCAAACAATACCTTGAAAACCGGCGGTGTACCGATAGATATCAGTTAACTCTTGTCTCTCTTGCCCTTTGCGCTTCACTCCTGATGAAGATCAGGAGACCTTGAGTCTGAAAATTTCCATGTATTACTGTTTTTCCACCATTAACCAATCCTAACTGGACTCCAATTTCACGTTCGATCGACGGTTATCCTCCAATTGAACCTGGAGATCGGGCGGGTGTACTAAGTTGGTTTGGCGTAGGTGTAGTAAACTATTGAGTATTCCAAGGTGTTAAGTGGGTGCGGTTGGCTGTTCGCACGATGAGTATGAAGAGGCGAACGCCCACCTCCAGACGGCCTCAAACATTTGGACATCCTCGGATTTCACTTCCATTATCAGTATCTGCAATCGATATTGACTGCAGAGGCAAAGGTTGCATGACATGATTTCCGGCACCGTGTCTAAAGACATACCTAACTGCAATGCGTAAAATTAGCTCGGAACACTACCTCAGATGCGGCATGTTTTACCTGAGTGTCATAATTCTAACCTCGTTTAGCACTTTTAGTTGTCGTATTAGCATACCAGTTTGGTGAATTCAACGAAAGTAAAAGGTGATAACACATACCTCTTGTCTTGTCAGTCTCATAATCGATGTTGGGCGTGTCGCATTTTGGTACACATTTTGGCGTGTCGTAAATTCTGTGTGGACACGGCGGGTACTTCTTTGATCCGTGGTGAGAGCATTTCGGAAATGGATATGAACGGCAACCCATGGGGTCTTCTTTCGAACCTCCGGTGACGATGCCATACGCTTGCCAAAAATCCCATGCGGCAGGAGGATAGCCTCCCTGACAGCCAAAACCACAGTATCCGCAGCAAGAAACTAAGTCAATGGAACTTAGGCTTTTAGTAAAAGTACCATTTGAGTGAATACACAAACGGTCGCTCATCGCCTCCACTGCTCCAAAAGCCTGTGAAGGAAGACAATTGAAAGGAAGGAAGGTTAACAACGGTCATGATTCATATAACAGAAAGCTTCATGAATACTAACCACTCTTGGTTAGATTATAGGTAATTTCCTGCTATCCGACGTCAATAATTCACAGAAAACAATTTCGTAGAAGATGGTTATCATAAGACCGCAATGAAAACTCACTGCTTTATTGTCAAACGCGAGGATGTCTGCTAGTAAAATCAATCAAGCCATAATCATGGACAGTAGGACATCAATGTCTAACACTGATACTTCGATGACACACAATCACAATCTATTTGAGAGCCTTGTTTTGAAGAAGTGAATAAAGTTGCACAAGGCAGGGACTTTGTGCTTTCTTACCACAATCACTCTGGGATGCCTAGACCACCAAACACTAGTTCAGACAATCCAAATAGATATTGATAACACAAAGGCCAGTGAAATCGATTAGCAGCCGTATCTTACGGCGTCTCCAACCAGGCGCAGTGATGATCACGTCGTTCTAATCCTGGAAGAGGAGTAGCACCGACAGCAGCCAAGCATTTCGTAATCTCTTTCATACCCCTCTGCCGGGTCAAGCGTTGGCCACTTCTCTGCTTCTGCCACTCTGAAATGTGCATGCAAAACAGCATTCTCTTCGGCAAACGGTGGTCTGGCACACGTAAAGCGTAGCCTGAACGAAGCAGCTTCTGGTGCTGGACACACTCTCCAATGGAAATCCCCGTTGCAAAACCTAAATGTCACGTTCTAATTGCCTCGTTATGAATTCGCCGACACCAGCCTATACGATCTATGATTCTGAGGCAATGACTGTCGAATAAATTAAGAAGTCTCAGTTCTGATGCTTGAACAGGTTAAGTGGAACAGCCATACAACAAAACAAGCCGCACTTTAGTCGGACTGATATACCACTTTGGTGCAGGTAATGAATAAATCTGTTGATTGAATAACTCATTTACCACACTCAGGCATTCATATGCAAGTGCAGGCGGTTGACAAGAAAATATCTTTCACTGGATGAGAAGTGCCACCCTCGTAATAGAAGTTTCCCCTATTTTCACATACCATAAAAGACACTTTAATCTAATCGATGACTGGACAAAAACTGTTCCCTAATTAAAAAAGAAGCTCCAGCCAATGCCGGTGGCTGCAGCTGGCTCTATGTCAGTCCTGAAGGTATGTTCGCAATTTAAAAACACCATTAGTTGTGTGACCCGTCTTCACTGCTTTAGATCAACATGTTTTCATGACTTCGATACCAGTCTCTGCTATATTTGAAATGACTGTTACTGGCTTTCTCTGAACAGAGCACACTACGAGGACATCAGATGTGGGATCGCGTTTTGAAAGGAACTTCACTGTCTCACTGAGAGAAGTTATTTCCGAGTGGACGTTTTTTCGTGAGCGAAATCGAGATGCCGAACACGGAGCCCCCTTAACTTTTATGTATGATAATTGATGTGATAAAATTACGGTCGAGTCCGGCCTAGTTCGTCATGAAAAAATGTTTACTTCCTTGAGAAAAAGGCTGTGAGTGCTTGGCCAAGCGAGGTAGAACATGAACAGATAGTGCACCCTTTAAAGATAAACCATATTAAGGGACTATTGTAGTTTACAGTACGTCAGAAGAACACGTAAGTATGGACACGGGTGTATTGAGTACACGCGGCCAAACCGGTCCGCTTTCGTGGCAGGCAAGCAAAACAACTGAGTCACATATCCAGTCAACCCACAGCGCTCACGCGAGCCAACCAATCGGACACATCCAATCAGCCACTCAAGTCACATGCCAGATCGAAGGTGGAACGACAAACGGACACGCACACGCGCAAACTCTCTGACACACCGAAGCAGCTACTACAGGGAGCACATTAAAGCAAATGGTATCTTTAGCGTTTGGCCCCAGATGTATCCACTTGTTCACTTCTGATTGCTGTTATAGTACAAAAACTTGATTTTTCCCCTGTCCAGACCAAATGACCAAAAATGTACCCACCATATCTAGGTCACTTTTTCAAGAGCTCTTCTCCAAGAATTCAAACAATCCAGCCTTACTGGCGAAGATTTAAGTTAATCGTCCCAAATCGGTCCTACAGCGATGGATAGGGCATCATGAGTATAGAACTAACGGAAGAGCTCTGATCAGTAACACCACATTGAAGATACCGATCGCATTCAGGGAATCAGAAAGTGACTGTCATGACGAATAGTGCCACGAATCCAAGAGGTAACGGATTAGACTTAACATAGTGCCTGAAATCGAGATCGCCGGTGAAACAGAATTGTTAATAAACGAGAAACAGACGGAATGCCAACTGTGGGAACATTTTGAAAGCAGCTGATTACGCCTTAATGACACAGAACTCCTCACCCAAATTCGTCGGTTTCATGAGGAGTTGGATTTTCCTTGTTTCTCTCTTTTGCGTTCGTTAAAACTGCCGCCGCAACTTTTTTAAAACAAATACATTTAGGGCAGATAAGTAAGGTTATCCGTCTTAGGCGGCAGCAACGTTTGGTCCACTCGGACTTACCCAGCAAGATCCACAGCTCGACTGGTCTCTGATTTGGCCAATGGTTGGACAGTGAGGCCATTGTTCCCGTGCGTCAAAGGTCTTGGGTATGTTTTCATCGCCAAGACTCTCATGGGAAACGGTTGGTCTTTTGGAACGTTGTTCTTCAGGTTCGCGTATCGCTCTGAACATCAACTGAAGATTCCCCTGTCGGAATGTTTCCGGTGGTTCTGCATAAATCCATTTCGCACCCGTCTGAAGAAACAGGGAGGGGGGCGGGAAAAATGAGTAACTTATATCTGAAAAAAGGAGATTCACTTATCTGTGAGCCGTAGTTGCATCATCTGTGTGCATTGTTTGGAATATCAAGTAGCGGAAGTTAGCAGTGAAGTCCTTACAGACTAACTTGCCTGAAACCGACTCCAATATATATTGTGTAAAAGAGGGGCCATCCTTCAGCGTCGGCGAGGGAGTGCTTTTATCTCTTAATAAGTATCCTTCTAATTCTGATAAAATATCACACTCCCGAGAGGAGATAATCACTATGTAGATGGTCTATCAGGCTGCATCGCTGAAGATAACAATATGGGCTCTCCCGAATCGAAAAGACGCGCAATCTTGTAGTGCACACACCATACTTTATTATTACACGTAACCGATGAATGTCAGAAGTCTCCATATATGATCTAAATCTCTTCCCGGTCATAGCAAACTTCCATTATTCTAAAGAGAGTGTAATGGTAACCATCATTTTGTTTCATCAGTATAAGCAACAGTGACAGAAACAGCAGCGGGTATCAAGATACTTATTCTAGAAGTTGTTCTAGATAGGTGCCAAAGTGGTTTCTTTGGGCTAGGTTACGTGCCACATGGTCAGCTTTAAAAGACACCTAAAAACTAGACGCAATTTATTTGGGAATTTTAAACCTGGAAGAGAATTGGAATTTGGCTTGGGGTGCACATCATCAATTGTCATTAGCTAGAAACGCCTCCTCTAGGTTGAATCTTTGGAAAGATTGTTTCTAAATATGGGGTACAGGAGTCTACGAGCGTAATTCATTGCTGCAAACTAGGAGTTCATAGGCGAAGGCCGTTCCATGTTGACCTTTAAGCGCTTTACTTCCCTACTTGTACGTCCAGCAATTTTGAAAAGTCCTAGAAGTATAATTCACCACTCATTTTCATAGAAAATGTTTGGTTAAAAAGAATTAAACCCGGCATTTAATAAGTCTATGTGGAATAAACTCCTAAAAGGTAAGCTATCGTTGGCATACTACGTATGGCAAGCTTCGGGCGTCCAATTTATTTATTTCATTGCTTTTTTTCTTTAACTACAGAGTAGTATTGGATGGCCAGATGACATTCTATAATCATGGACAACTATAGGCATTCTCGGAAGTAAAAGAATACCTGAATGAATTTCTTAGATAATCACAATGTACCAATTGATATTGATGGAATATATATGATGATATCGATAGAATTGATTATTTTACGTGATGGAGTTTGAGATTCAAAGCGGCCTTTTTGGGGTACTGCCCCCAAAATTCCATATCGTGGGCCAAATACCCAGCACCAATTAGTAAATACATTTCTCATAATGAAATCAGAGTTACACTCAGCACCATCTACCTCTAATCGTGAACGGGTGCCTATTGTGCGGAGTAACTTATTGGCATTACTGAAAACAGCTCGCGTTGATGATAAACGGCGGTGAAGCAAAAAGATCTTTTACACTGGATATTTGCCCCTTGAAATTTGCTGAGAAAAAGAAAGAAATATTTGAGCTGTTAAGGACTCAACCATTTTTTTGCTGCCAAGCTGACGATGATGTGGTGTTTGGGTACTTTTGACAACATGGCTCCAGACTGAGTCTTCTCTACGACAATTGACATTCAGCTGGATACTTGGCCGGGATTGATTTAAAAAATGAACGGATTCCATCGAAAATCTTGACATTTTCTAGCATAAAAAACATCAACCTAGTTGGTTCGTTCGGGCGGCCACGATCGTTTGGAGATTAGTTTCCAGCCTTCATATGTTCTCCCTTGGATGTCCAATTGGCAGTTAGAACAAGTGGGTTTTATTCACAGATATTTTGTTCTTTCTTCCGACATGGTGGACATTTATGCCTTGAAGCAACTGACCAAAATCAAAAATAGGAATATGAGAAGCCGGTGAATGAATTCCACCAAACTCAACGGTACCACAAGCAATTTACTCGTGTTCAGGAGGAAGTGTCGTACCATAAACTGAAACTTTTGGGTTGATGCAAAGAGGCAAACCAATCGTCCGCGTAGTAGCCTGGTGGTGGTAGCAGACTACCGATAGAAACTCAGTCCTTTAGCCCCTCAAAATACTCCGATTAGGTCTCCATATGACGGCACTAAGCGTTGGCACAAGAAGCTTGGGTATTGCTCAGAAAAGCCAAAGTTACGAAATTTCCTACATAGATATCTCAGCTGAATGTTAAAATCTTGTGTTTACCACTCCTCTCCATCCACTTTGACCGCCTACATTCCGTAATGTCATTTGACGGGAGGACCGTATGGGATGAAATGTGCGTACACATAATGCCGTTAAATTGGATGATGAGAAAACACTCAGTGAAGTTCGGATAATTGCTTTTACATAAAAACACCCTCAAGTAGGCACCGTCACATAATTTGAATGTAAATGAATACAGACCAAGACATTAACCCACCTCTGAATCAACATATTCCCGCATTCCAATCGATCCTGTAACTTCACCCGCAGCTGCTAAAACTGTACCGAAAACTAGTATCAACCACGGCATGTTGACTGAACCTGAAGTAGAACATCTGTCTGCGTAGGTTTCATTGCACTTTATACTGCATGGTTTACCAAATGAACCTTGAAACGACAGTTGTTTGCCAAGTTCATTCCAACAGTGCCTAGCTAGCGCCTATCTGCTAGTGAGATGAGAAAAGTTGGACCCTGTTACTCAAATTTTTTATCCAGTTCTACCGAAAATGATTCGACCTTTGGTATGAACGTGATGGGTGTGTACTGCTCACAGCATATCCCACCTTTGGTGTGAAAGTTACTTTCTCTATATATCAAATGCATTCTTTCTCTGTGAGCGAACGGCGCTCTATTGAGTTGATTTCCGGAATCTAGAATATGATAAAGCCGCACAAATGCTTCACGAAATAAAGCGCGATAACTTGGTTTTCCCTGAATCTGTCACTAATAAACAACTAATTTCTCAACCTCCAACAATCACGACCTGTCACTGACTCGTGATAAACCAACGACATTCGATTTGGGTGAAAAGAAACTTGCTTAATTACAATGGAGGAATTCGTAATGGGTAGCTTAGCGTATTTAGTAATAAGAAGACAATTTGGGGTCCTGTGAATCCCTATCAAACATATAGTTAGGAACTTTGGACCGCAAGCCAACTTCGTCGCGAAACCAAGAGTTGCACAGGTTAATTCAGAAATTTAGGGCAAACCATGATGCCAAAAATTCAAACATGATAATTGTTATATCTGCTGATTCGTCAGTCCATGTATATGCTACCTGCTGATTCGTCAGTCCATGGTATATGCTACTGATCCACTCCAGTGCCTAATGCCGGAGAAAAAAGACTCACAGAAAGGAACACAGCCGCTATATTCCAAACAAACGAGTGCGAGAGCGTGAGTGCGTGCGAGTGCGAGGGCAAAAGTTACAACGGCCCCGTGCTATTTAAAGGGGACTTTCTGACATTGATCCAGGCTGTTTGATAGGCGTTAATGAACATCCATCAACATCGATCGTGCCTCTCTGAAATGCCTGAACGCTGATCACATTCGGTCGTGCTTCTGTGGCGTGCATGAGGACTCATCGGCTTTTGCTGAACTGATTGAATGACTGACTGGCCTGGATGCTTGCCGGCTTTCCTGTTGAGATTTTGGTGGGGCAGTAAGTTTCGGGCGTTCTGAGATTGCTTTCAGGAATCTGACCTTCTTGATAATAATGTTCCCCGTGAAATGCCAATTTGCGTCAGTTCAACTTATCATCCAACTTATTCCTCACCTGGCAATATCCGCATTACAGATATAAAGTTCAACGATCTCGCTTTCCTCCGCTTTGTGGAAGAAGTTTTCAACACGCTCCTATCCCAGTGATTGACAAACTAATTGATCGTCTTCCGAAATAATGAGTGATTAGTAGAGATCTCTCCGGAGGAATTCAGCCTACGTTTGTCGACCACAACTTTGTTAATGAGACTGTGATTGAGCTATTTGAAGAGGGTAAGGACACAAAAGTAATGAAGAAACCGAAATGCTTTAATAACTTTTTCGATGTATATGGACACATACTTCAGATTGAAAGAAAAAGTAACTCTAACTGGAAAAAAAATTCACTGGGTTCATAAATTTCTGAATTCGTCCCTGAGTTAGTGCTGCAGGTCATCAGCTCCATGTTCTGGATTAGAAATTTGTTAATTATATGAACTGGACTGCAAAACAGTGTACGAATGAATTGCCTTTGACGACATTTAGGAATGTCAAACTTACAATCGAAATCGATAGAAACAACATGTCTACTGACCAGACTGTCCATGTCTAAATGGTACGCATTATACACAGCGTCTACGCTGTTTAAATCATATTTAAGTTGGCAATCACGCACTGATGTACAACACACAAGCAGAACAGAGTGAGAAAGATATGGCTAGTTGCTCTGGTTCTGACGAAAGTGTGTGCTATAAGATTACTGGACAACTCCTGAAAGTCCGAATAACGTTTATCAATATGCGTCCCCTGTGATGTCCCAGCGGTGTATTAATGGGGCGCGGCCGTCGTTTGTAGCTACCATAAACGAAGAAATGTGTTATGTGGTCTCTGTGGGCAGATGATTCGATATCTCAATGTTTTGAGACGAGTCGTCCAGTTCATGACGAAGTATCTAGAAAGCGGGCTTCCGCTTGTGCGACAAGCTCAACAAAATGATGCATATACAAATCGTATCCAATGAATCATGCAGGTAAATCAAAAGTACGTACTATAACCCATGCCTCTACACTCCGATGAGTCCACGAATTCGCCGTCCACTAAAATATTCCACCGTATTACAATAGATACGAACCACGTTGCTTAGAATGGGGTTATTCTTACAACCCAAATTCTTCAGCCTGATAAGTTCGGCCCCCTCCTCAGAGGATCAGAGATAAAAAGTAACCCATTGGCGATATAATGTAAACCCCCGGAGTAGAAGCTATCCGACAAGAATGTTCACTATTCCATGGTGTTGGATATTCAGGAGAAGGCGTTCCATAAACTTTGTAGGTGTTTTTTGATCAACTGTATAGAGGGAAACACTAACAATTGTCATTTGAACTAGCGATGTGACTAAGAACCTCGTCAGCAACTTGGATGATGTCATTAGTCCGCTGTCAATGTAATCCTTGGAAACTCCCTGATGCCACCTGTTACACCAAAACAAATATGGTCACTAGATTCTGCGGTGATATTGCATTTTGCTTAATACATATTTGGTGATCTGACCATGCTTCATGGGTCAGAGAATCGTCAAAAGTAGACGAAGTTGAACTTCTACATCAGAGGTATCCACCCTAATTCTGGTGTTTCTCTCCACTGGATTGACGATTCGCCGCGACTTAATAACGGTACTTCCTTTATGGCGACTCAGACCGAAATTTCATATGTACTTTTTCCCACAAGTGTGTTGCTTTACACAATTCAGTGAAACGTGAGAATTAACTGGACCTCAAAGGTTCAAGTTCTCTCTGTCTCTAAACGTGGAGATATTTTATGACTTGTTATTGTCTATCAATAACAATAATTAATTAGCAATTAACAAACTTTCGCAAGATTAATTTCAGTAATTTCTGTCCCTCCCATTCTGGGGCAGAAGTATAGTAGTTGGTGTACTAATCCATATAAAAATCCGTATACCTTTACACATATTTCTCAGGATGTGTGCGAGTGAATAAAAGGCTCTAAAAGGCTCGGCAAGGTTGTTCACTTTTCCATCTTCGTCCATTTCCCTCGTCGACAAAATAGATAATAGGGCCCTACGGAATCTTTTGAACCAAGGCTGAATCATGCAGATTTGGAGTACGGTCATTTAAAATCGAAGTCAGATCAGGGGAAATTGGATAAACTGATAATCATCTATTGCCACGTGCCTTGCATATACAAACTGCAAGGTCCGGCGTCGGAAAGTGCATGCTTTGACTATGATCCAAACAGTTTAAAAAGGAGCAGCCAAGGCTTTTCAGAATGTTACGCGTGGCACCAAAACGCATACTACAGGGTCTAACGGGTGGTACCGAGCCAAAGCTTTTGTTATGTGGCTTTGATACCACAGACATTTTGATGATGTCGGGTGGTGGCGATCATCTAATTAGAAAACGGTTTTGGCGATTGTTAGACACCATCGACTGTGGTAGCTCGGTCATGCATACCAGACCCTCGTTATACGAGACGAGTAGCTTTGTTCTTGCCTGCTACGAAGTGGCGCCAAACGTAAGACATGCAACTTGTAATGTGAAAGGAGACGAATGAATTGCGGATACTGTGAGAGTTTTTAATGCGATTTCTCCAGCAGGAAGGAATCCGTTTTACTCCCGTGATCCTCTGGAGTGAGCGGCGTTTGCGCTGTCAGTTTCCCTGCAGAATGTCAGTGTGAGAAAATTTTTAAATTTTGATTGAACAAAATTCTACAGGCCGGATTATGTTTGTGCGCTATCGTGCAGCTTTAGATGGACGTGGCTGCACAAGATCCGCGAAACGCATCTATTCGATTGTCTACTATTCACACATTGCTTCAGAACTACAGATCATAGGGTTATCCCATCACCGCACGAACAATTCTCGTTGCTACAGATAAGAGGCCGCTGTCCCATCCATCTTGTACTGGGATGGATGGATAATAATCCCTGGATGACTGTACTATTTCCGTTCTTGGTCCTTTATTCGTTTTGTCCATTGGGATAATTTTTTCCCATTAGGCCACGACTTTTGTATTTGTGTATTCTTGTTTACCTTTCGAATTTCGTCGCTTAAAATCGTAATAAGCGTAGGTTTTTGTTTGAGTTTTTGCAGAAAATTCACAACTTTCACTCGAATACGATTTAAGAGGACATGTGCTATATGACAAATCATTGTCGACGTAGTTTATGGATCCCCATGTTGTTATCTGAAAAATATGTCACATATTGCTGCCTGTTTGCTCTCAATTGTGACCTTCGAAACCTCGATCCCGGAGCCAAATAATGCAGCCATCGTTGGCGATAAGTTGCTATGGTTACGACATTTGGTAACCTGATCCCTGGCAAAGTTTTTCGAGCCACGCTGCCTGGTTTATGCATCTGGCTGGAAAACAGGATCGCGTTTTTGACAAGCGGCTATGTGTATTCCGAAATGGATTCGCAAGCAAGCATCAATTCAGCGTATTTTTGCATGACACAAAAATCCAGAACTAAATTTGTTAGGAATTTCTGGAAGCCAAGCTACTTTACTTGCGGACATTTAAGTAGGAAAAGTATACCAAGATTATTGAGCCGGTTATTGGATTGGAGGTATCAGTCCCCCAGTATACCAAATCTTTTCGAGCATTGCCTAGCCGGTGACAATGATGCAAGTGACTACAGTGTAGACCAATCATTCGATAATGGCATAATACACAGGATCAATCAAGACCTCTGGCCAACTGAAAATGCCTTCACAAGTGGCATTATGATATAAGTGGCCATTTTGACCCTATTTTTTGAAAAAAGACATATCCTTACTCAAGTTCAGACGCATGGAACTTCCGGTCGCAGTTTCCATGTACCATTTGACGAGTGGAATAAAGGAGGAACTCACAAAGGTTTACATCACGAGAGATATTTGGCCTGATTGGTTGAA